CGTTCACGTTCACCTGTACCAGGACGAAAGATGAAAGAGGAAACTATTTGCCCATGTACGAGACTCGATGTGAGCAGTGTTGAATGAAAAGTGATAGTGATAGTGATTTCAAAGTTATTGATGAAAGCAGTTTTGTAGTGACATGAGGTGAATTATTCCCCAGTTGAAGCGGCAGTTATATACCGACATAGCTTGCGGTCTGGTAGTGTTTCTTATGCTGTTCCAAAGGAAGGAGGGAAAGTAAATCTCGTGCACATCCCCATAGCCTACACCACGGTACTTATAGTAAAGATGACGGTTTTATTGTTAAGAGTGGGTATGAATGATGTGAGGAGGCAGCAGGTGTGGCATAGTGATGGATGCAGAGTTCATGTGGCTCGGGCATAGTCACTGGTAGTGCGGGATTCCCACACGTGACTCTATGCCCTCGTCTGCCACACCCCTTATCCTCTGATGCCTATATAACAGTCAGTCTTCTTGCCTTTGCTCCTAGATTCTCCTCCAACCCATGATGATGTGAACACTAACTCCAAGGTGAGGGACCTGATTACATCTTTTTGTATATTAGTTTACGGCTTCTAATTATGTCCTAGGAATCTGCATTGATTAAAGCCCTCTGGATGCAAAAAAGTCTTGCAACAAAGATATCCCGATGTTGCACATGTGTCCAGAAACTTTTTATTGTCGGGTATTTTATTACCTTTCTTGCAAAGTGCCACTCTGCATAGACCATGTTTCAAAGAGTTTCCACAAGTTACAGCGTTCTAGGAAAGTGTTCAGTGCATTTGTTTTTAGAGCGGACGATCATGGTCTGTCACAGCTGCTGAGACCATTTATGACAGCAAATTACAGAAAGAGGGGGGGGGGGGGCACTGGAAGAAGACCCAAAACTCAGATGTGAATTTACACAAGATTATGCCAAAGGCGTTTGACAAATGCGATCATGGAAGTAATAGTGCACAAAATGAAGGCCATGGGCATTACAGCGGGCAAAGGTAGAGATGGATTATTTTGGTTTCCTAAACCACACAACACAAAAAGTAGTACGTGAAACAGGGCAAGATCCAGCATCAGCGAGGTCAAAGCTCAGTGCCCAACATTGGCACTGTCCTGGCACCTTTGCTGTTCACTCATCTCCATAGCAGACATAGACAAAAAACACCGGGCACACTTTTGTATCATATTTGCAGATGACACTTAAAATAAGCATGAAAGTCAGTACGGTAGAGGACACTGAAAAAAGTAACAGGAAGACATAAACAGGTTTTCCATGGGCAGAGGAAAACAAACATGACGTTCAATGGTGAATATGTTCAGCTGCTTAGGTATGGAAAGAATGAAGAAACTCAAAAAAGAGCACTATATACAAAACTCCAAGAGGTCACCAAATAGACGTAGGGAACCGTAAAAGGACCTAGGAAATAAAAATATGTCAGCGGACTTTCTTTTAAAGACCATAACAAGACAAAGATCACGACAGCAGGAAGATGATGGGTGGGTATTGAGAACTTTCAAAACAAGGGAAAAATGCCGATGGTGGACTCGTCTTTCAAATCGCTAGTGCTCCCACCCCTCCCCCTCCCTTCACTTAGAATATGGCTCAGGTGCTGATGGACCTGTTCAAGGGCAGAGGGAAATATTGGTGATGGAACACAAATACTAGGAGACGTTTACAGCTCGCATGGAGCCAGTAAAGCACTCCTAAACTACTGGGAACGCCCCTTGCAAGTCTTGAACATGTACCTTCATTGAAGCGGAGGGGGAGAGATAGGTACATGATAATTATACTGGAAGGTGCTCGATGGCTTGCGTTACCAAATCTGCAACTGCCATAACTACATACTGGAAGTGAGAGGATATGGGAGGAAGTGTAAAAATAAACCCAGCTGAGGGCAAGGGGTGCGGAGGGGAACAATAGGGGAACACTAATCAACATCCGGGGAGGGGGGTCCAGACTTTTCAACATTGCTTACCAGAAGATATCAGAACACTGCTGGAACAAGTGTTGAAGCCCTTCAAGAAGAAACTAGACAAGTATCTTCACCAGGTGCCAGATCAACCAGGCTGTGAGGATATTTGGGCGGGCGGGCCTCCACCAACACCCGGGGTTTGACAGGCAGCCCCAGGGGCCCTGGCCCAGGCCGGGCTCAGAGAGTAAAAATTACTCTCGAAATTCTTAAAAGGGTATACAAAGGTATATGTATAAAAATTAGGGAACAATATAATCAATTTTTGTATTTTTTGTGTAAAAATGTTTTATAACTAAAGGATAATTTTTTCAGTTATTTTGCTGAAAACAATGATTTGGTAATTTGAACAATGCACCTTATTTTGGCTCACACCCACATAAGTTTACTTAGAAAAAAAAATATGGAAAATACTTAGAAAAAGAAAAATATTGGAAAATACAAAAACCTTCAAATTGGAAAAAAATTTAAAAAAAATACTGGGTGGGGGCATTCGCCACTGTTGCCATACACCGCTCCTTTTCTCCCAACTTTGTGCCCGTTTTTCCGGAAGTACTGATGGGAAAATTTTTTTTTTTTGGGCTTAAAAACCTGTAAAATAATCCTAACTTTTTGGAAAGAAAAAAATTTTTTTTTTTTTTTTTTTTAAAAAATTTTTTTAAACATAAATGACATTTTTAAAAAGGGGGCCTCGACGGGCCGCAGAAACGTACTTCCCTTTCCCCTACCAACCCCGGCATATGAAAAATTTTTTTCCCCCCTGAAACCCTTTCACAAAAATTTTACTCTGCCAACTCCAACACTTTCAGTCCCAAAAAATACCAATCACTTCAGCACACATTATCATCATGTTTGTTTCAAAACTTTTTTACACAAACATTAGTAATAGGGAACTTTTCTACCTTTTTGCTTTGTGTCACTACCACACCAAAAATAAAAGCCCAGTACATTGTTTAGTTTAAATTAATGTATTTTCATAATTTCCCATCATTGAAACATTTACTTTTCTGCTTGCATAGGTTCAAGCATGTTTTTTTTCTGTTCCCAAGAACTAAAAAATCAGGGGCTCATGTTCCCCTTTAAAAGCTTTAACTTCCATATTAAAAACATTATTTAGTTTTTTTAAAAGGCTGAACTGAATATATTTTTTTCCAGAGCAGTAAGGTGTACTCTGGTAAGAACCGGATTTTTATTGCCGACGCTCTAGAGGGGCCCGCATCAGGTCCACAAAATAATATTGATGGTAAGTTATATTTTGTGTGAAAAATATGAGTATTCCAGTTAAGACATGCATATTAACCCTTAAACGGTCCAAACAGATCGACGTTCAAATCCGTAGTGCTCCAAAAGTAGATCTACATTTTTTTTTACACATTTTCAAATGTAAAACAAGAAAGAAGATCTACATTTTTTAACATACTTTCAAATATTGAAAGAATGTATATATACGTTTGGACCATTTAAGGGTTAAATACAGCCTCTCCTTGCTTAGCGACGTACTCGTTTACCGACCACCCCTCCAACCAGTGTGCAAACCTAAGTAATGTATATTAGAGCTGATTTCCTCTATTCTCTTTATTACATTATAAGTACATTACTGTATAAACATATAAAAATACAGCCTCTCCTCACTTAACAATGGAAATCCGTTCCTAAGACCACGTCAGTAAATGAATTCATCATTAAGTGAGGAGCTTACTATAATGGTAGTGGGTTTGTGTCAGCCATCTTTGATAATGTTTTAATGCCACCTTTGCACCATTTGTAACATTTCTAGTATATTTTTAAATGCTTATACAGCAGTGTACTGTATATTGTAATAAACAGAATAGAGGAAATCAACTTTAATAAACATTTTTGAGGTATGCATACTAGTCAGAGAGCCTGTAGTAAGTCTGAGTCATTGCTAAATGAGTATGTCGCTAAGTGAGGAGAGGCTATATACTAAAAATGTTATAAATGGTGCAAAGGTGACATTATAAAAATGTCTAATGATTTATTATTTATTAACACACTGGCCGATTCCCACCAAGGCAGGGTGGCCCGAAAAAGAAAAACTTTCACCATCGTTCACTCCATCACTGTCTTGCCAGAAGGGTGCTTTACACTACAGTTTTTAAACTGCAACATTAACACCCCTCCTTCAGAGTGCAGGCACTGTACTTCCCATCTCTAGGACTCAAGTCCGGCCTGCCGGTTTCCCTGAATCCCTTCATAAATGTTACTTTGCTCACACTCCAACAGCACGTCAAGTATTAAAAACCATTTGTCTCCATTCACTCCTATCAAACACGCTCACGCATGCCTGCTGGAAGTCCAAGCCCCTCGCACACTAAACCTCCTTTACCCCCTCCCTCCAATCTTTCCTAGGCCGACCCCTACCCCGCCTTCCTTCCACTACAGACTGATACACTCTTGAAGTCATTCTGTTTCGCTCCATTCTCTCTACATACCCGAACCACCTCAACAACCCTTCCTCAGCCCTCTGGACAACAGTTTTGGTAATCCCGCACCTCCTCCTAACTTCCAAACTACGAATTCTCTGCATTATATTCACACCACACATTGCCCTCAGACATGACATCTCCACTGCCTCCAGCCTTCTCCTCTCTGCAGCATTCATCACCCATGCTTCACACCCATATAAGAGCGTTGGTAAAATTATACTCTCATACATTACCCTCTTTGTCCTTGGAGGCAAAGAGGGGAATGTATGCCTCCCAGGACAAAGTTCTTTGTCTCCACAGACTCCTAAGTGTCTAATGATGGCTGACATAAACCCACTACTAATACAGTATGCTCCTCGTTTAACAACCAATTTGCTTACCGACCTACTCTTAGGAAGAGAACCTCATTGTTAAGTGAGGAGAGTCTATAATAATTAAACATAAGCAGTGGTATCATATTTATGTACTGTACAGTGTAATATGGTACTTCAAAAAAGTTTTAGTGCACATTGGGTAAAATTTAATTGTTTTAAATATTTTTAAGGTTACAGTTATCTTGATTTTGACATCCTGTGTACTTAACCAGCACTGGAGTTCACTGGAGGCATTCCCTTTGAAATTCTTCGGCCTGTACTAGAAAGAGCATCCCCGCATCAACTCCTTAGCCTTGAAGATTTCAACAACTATCTCTTAGATGATACTAATGTACTTTGGGAAGTGCATTGTAAGAGGGACTTCAGGAATAAGGTAAGTCTTGTAGACTGAAAGATTCTGCAAGAGGGACTTCATTAATAGAATAAGTTTTGTGGGAAGGAAAATGGAGAGTGAGAGGAATATGTTTACCATGAGTAAAAATCATAACATATTTCAGCAGTCTAAAATGCCTAAAAATGTCAGTGTTCCACATTTTCGTTGGCTTTCAAGTGAGTCATTGCTCATTATATACGGTGTTTTTTGCAATTTTCACACAACAGTTGCATACGGGAAGGGCTGCTGGTGCCATATTTTATGGTAAGTATTTTATGTACTGGGTATTTATTTTACTTTTATGTTTGTTTTTTGTTCCTAGCTGTATTGAGCACTTAATATATGATAGTGTAAACACATTATCAGGTATTTTAGCATTCAATAATAAAAAAAAAAACTGTTTCCACCCTCCGGTGATTTTTGCTTATCGCATGGGGTCAGGAACCTAAGAGGTGTACAGATGAGGCCCTCCTGTATGAGATTTTTTTTATAGTTAGGAAGAATACTGGTGGATGGCTAAAGGTTGGTGTTATTGTTGCTTTGTAAATTTTTAAAACATGAAATGGGGTATAATTTATTATTGAAAATGGTAGTACAGTACATACAACACATATTACAGACAGGTAACCAATGTAAAATAAAACTTGAAAAAAGATTTTAAAAGAGGTTAACTTATAAAGATTCAATCAATCCTTTCATGTCCAAAACTGCATTTTGGAATTTCTTTTATAGTGGGCAGCTGGGTGATTACAGATGAGAATAAAAAGACAGAAATTGACAGTACAGTAGTTAAAAGAAGTATTTGTTTACAGCACTTTTACAGGCCACCGGGACTGGCTGTTACCTTTGCTACAGCATGCAGGATTTACTGGAAGATTGTTATCAGTTTTGGACATGAGAGGATGAATGTGGGAAAATATGACTAAAATGTGTTCATCATTCTCTACGGTATGTGTTGCTATCGAAGTAAAGATAGACTTGTAGTGTATTAATTTCTGTTATTTTTAACTCACTGGGCATCATCTACTGAGGATAGTGACACCTTAAAAGGAAACACATTTGCCATCATTCATTCAATAGCTGTCTTGCCAGAAGTGTACAAACATTACATTTCAAATGACCCTCTGAACTGTAACATCCCCCTCCTTCCTTCCAAGAGCAAGCACTGTGCTTCTCACTTTCAAGACTAAAATTTTTATTAACCCCTTGACTGTTGCAACCCCCAATCCTGAGGTGTCTCCTGGTGTCGCAAAATTTAAAAAAAAAAAAAAATATTTTTTTCTTATGAAATGATAGAGAATCTTTTCCCGATTGTAATGACACCAAAAAAACGAAATTTGATGGAAAACTGACAGAATTATGCTCTCGCGAAGTTACCGACCTCGGCGATATTTACAAATCGGCGATTTCGCCCACTTTGAGCCCTATTTTCGGCTAATTCCGTTGTTCCAGTCGACCAGACTCATAGCTATTTCTTTAGAACTCCATTTTTTTCTATCGATTGAATACAAGAAACTGCCCATTTACCGATTTCAACTACCCAATAATGTGGTCAGAAATTTGCAATTTGGCCAATTTCACGAAAATTAAAAAAATATGACAATTTCAAAATAAGGTCCAGAATGAACAATGCAGACATTCCTGGATCTAAAATAACATTTTCTTTGTTCATCAGTCATGTCTCCAGGCCCCTCTGATATTACTCTTGCTTTCTATTTTGAATTTTTATTCAAACAAAAAATAGAAGACTTACTATTATGCAGACTATTGCAATACTGTAATAATTGTATAAATAACATCAACCCATTCATGACTGCATATTAGAATGGCTAGTTGGACATTTATTGAACAATGACATCATTTGTTTACTTTTGAACATTGGCAAAAATCAAACATTTCCCCTACTTTAAGCTCCATTTCCAGGTTCTTTTTATAGTAAAATCAATCAAAATCACCTCTATTTCTATAATATGTTTTCCATTCTATCAAATGAGACCAAGAAAATGAGAATACAACCATAAATACTATACGAAAATAGACCACAAAGTTGGCATTTTAATTTAAAAAAATGGTCAGTTTTTTTTTTCTCGTTATGCACTGCGTGCTCCAGGATTTTTTATATGGTGCACACTGACCCCACAGACCCATTCTCTCACATGTGGGCCTACCAGCTTTCTCCTGCTTGATTTGAAGCCGCTAGAATTTATGAGTACATGTATATATACGTCAAACACGGTACCTCGTAAGATGTATATATATGGCCACGACAGTCACAGGGTTAATAACACGTCGGCCATTTCCCACCGAGACAGGGTGACCCAAAAAAAGAACAAACACTTTCTTCATCATTCACTCTACTGTCTTCCAGAGGCACACCTACACTACAGTTAAAATACTGCGACATATCAACACCCTTCCTTTGGAGAGCAGGCAGTGTACTTCCCACCTCCGGAACTAAAGTCTGGCTAACCAGTTTCGGTTTTTCCAGAATCCCTTCATAAGTGTTAATTTGCTCACACTCCAGTAGCATGTCAAGTCATAAAAAAACATTTGTATCCACTGCTATTTAATACGCTCATGCGCACTTGCTGGAAGTCCAAGCCCCTTGCTCACGAAGGTAGGGGTCATCCCTTTTCTAGGGATGACCCCTACCCTGTCTTCCTTCCACTACAGATTTATACACTCTCCAAGTCATTCTGTTTTGTTTAATCCTCTCTAAATGTTCGAACCACCTCAACAACCCCTCCTCAGCGCTCTGGATAATACTTTTATAAACCCTGCACCTTCTAATCTCCAATCTATGGATTCTCTGCATTATATGCACACCATGCATTGCCCTCAGACACGACATCTCTACTGTCTTCGGCCATCTCCTTGTTGCAACATTCACCACCCATGCTTCACACCCATATAAGAGCATTGGTACCTCTATACTCTCATGTATTCCCCTCTTCGCTTCCATGGGTATCATTCTTTGTCTCCACAGACTCCTCAGTGCTCCACTCGCCTTTTTACCCCATCAATTCTATGATTCACCTCGTCTTTCGTAGACCCATCTGCTGACAAGCCCTTTTCCAAATATCTGAAAACAATCCTTTCATTACCTAAATTTTTTGTTATCCTCATCACCTTGCTCTTTCCTATGCTCACTTATAATTTCCTTTGTTTACATACCTTTCCAAACTTGTCCACCACCTCTTCAGTTTCTCTGCAGAATCTCTCAAAAGCACAGTATCATCAGAAAAAGGCAGCTGTGACAACTCCCACTTTGTGTTAGATTCTTCATCTCTTAATTCCACGCATCTTGCCAACACCCAAGCATTCACTTCTCTTACAACACCATCTGTAAATATACTGAACAGGCATGGTGATATCACACATCCCTGTCTACAGACCACCTTTGCTGGGAAATAATCTCTCTCTCTCCTACATACTCAAACCTGAGCTTCACTATCCTCGTGAAAACTCTTCACTGCTTTCGGTAACCTACCACCTATTCCGTACATTTATAACATCTGCCACGTTGCTTCCCTATCCACCCTATCATATGTTTTTACCAAATCCTTAAATGCAACGAAAACCTCTTTACCCTCATTTAAATACTGTTCACCTGTACGTTTTACTGTAAACACTTGGTCTACACATCCCCTACCTTTCCTAAAGCCTCCTTGGTCATCTATGGTCCTGCTTTCTGTTTTCCTCATAATTCTTTCAATAATAACTCTGCCATTTATTTTACCAGGTATACTCAACAAGCTTATTCCCCTATAATTTTTACACTTTTGTCCCCTTTGCATTTATATAAAGGAACTATGCATAATCTGCCAGTCTCTAGGTATCTTTCCCTCTTCTATACATTTATTAAATAAAAGTACCAACCATTCCAAAACTATATCCCCACCTACTTGTAACATTTCTCTTTTTATCCCATCAATCCCAGCTGCTTTACCCCCTTTCATTCTACCCACTGCCTCACACACAATTGGCTGATCACACCTACATGATGTTAAAACCCTTTGCCCTGTGCATGAAATCACTGCTACCCTATCTTCAATACTTAGCAGTTCTTCAGAATATTCCCTCCATCTTCCCAATACCTCCAACTCTCCATCTAACAACTCTCCTCTCCTATTTTTAACTGTCAAGTCTATTCATTCCCTATTGTTTCTAAACTTATTAATCTCACTCCAAAACTTTTTCTCATCAAAATTTGTTGATACCATCTCTCCCACTCTTATTTGCTTTCCTTTTAGGTTTTTTCATCACTCTCTTAACCTGTCTTTTTCTCTTTGTATATGCCTCCCTCCTTGTATCAGTTCTGCTTTGTAAAAATCTCTCATATGCAAACTTTTTACTCTCTCTTACTACTGTTTACCTCATTCCACCATTCGCTCTTCTTCCCTCCTGCACCTACTTTTCTGTAGCCTCAAACCTCTGCTGAACACTCCAATACTACATTCTTAAATCTACCCTACCCCATACCTCTTCAACATCATTGCCTTTACTCTTACTAGCCCATCTTTCTTCCAGTAGTTGTTTATATCTTATGCTAACTGCCTCCTCCTTTGGTTTACAAATCTCACCTCTCTCTCTTACCTGCTGCTACCATTCTCCTTGTATCCCATCTATCTTTTACTCTCACTGTAGATAGAACTAAAAAATATGATATATTTGTGGCCCCCTTTATCAACATGCACATCCTGAAGTCTACCCATTAGTCTTTTAGCTACCAATGCATAGTCCAGTGAACTACTGTCATTACACCATGTATCATGTCTTGTGTACTTATCCTTTTTTTAAATTGTATTACCTATTACCAAACCCTCTTTCTGTACAAAGTTCAATCAAAGCCCCCCCCCCCCCATTATCATTTACACCTGGCAACCCAAACTTACCTACCATACATTCTATAGTTGTTTCTCCCACTTTAGCATTCATTTCTCTTACCACAATTACTCTCACTTGGTTCAAAACTTCTTAAACACTTGCTAAACATCTCC